CACACACACACACACACACACACACACACACACACACACACAAACATGGGATACCTTGGCGAGTTCGCAAGCTTATTCTTGTGTGTGTATGTGTCACTAACATTCATTCCTGCTTATTCTTGTGTGTGTATGTGTCACTAACATTCATTCCTGCCAACACATGCCATGAGCTCAATGTCTTGTGCACCTGCAAAGAGGCTAGTCTACTTGCAATCATTTTGAAAGAAGAAGAATATGAAATACAGAAGGGATTCAGAGAGAGCTGTCCGTTTATCCGAGATGACTCTGAAACAAATAAGCAAAGATGTGATATGGAGAGAAGCGAGAGAAAGATGGAGCAGAGGGAGTGGTGAACACAACAATGTTGTGCGAAAATGTACAGGTTCCACCCTCTGTTCTCTGTGGCCGTATGTCTATGCAGTATGTACTGTGGGCCCCTCCCTCCTCGCCTCTCTGTGGCCAGTCTATGGACTATGTTTATAGTACTTCAAAGTGCATACATATGTTTCTGAAATGCAGGCACCTCACTCCATTTTGCCTGCCTCCTTAAGGCAGCTGCAAATCCTACCCATGTCTGGTGCAAAGGAGCAATTCATTTGGTAGTGTCCCAGTCGCTTTTCATACCTTTGAAGAACTTCCAGCCATCAAAGAACCCTCACCCATTTCTTGCTTGTTGTTTGTGCACTTTGGCAGGTCCATATAACCCTTCCTCGACTTCTTTTTCATGTCAACGATGAGGCTATGGATGTCAGACATGCATGCAAGGTATGTTTTGATTTCACTGCGAATACTAATATTTGCCAGTCCTCTTTCTCCAATTGTAGGGGCGACTGTTTGTTGGCCGGGTGACGGACAGCCTCGGCCCCTGCAATCGCTAGTCTTTTATCATTTTCAGTGTGCTTCTTACCAAGGCCCAGGTGTACAGGGGTTTGGGCTTTATCAATAGAGTGGGCCCAACTGATAGGGGAAAGGGGGATTTATCAAAAGAGTGGGCCCTTTATCAAAAAACTGGGTTCAACTGGGGGCTTAATCAAAAGTGGGATGGGGGAGGAGGCTTTATCAAAAGAGTGGGCCCAACTGGTAGTCAGTCCTCCCATAGTAGAGTAATGAGCGCTGCCAGTGGTTCCACAAGGGACTATGCCTACCTTCTTCACCCAAATAGAATGCCCGGTCATTATTGCTGTATTTGCGGTCACTTTCGGTCCAGATGCAGCGATAATGACCGGGTTTTCTATTCGGGTGAAGAAAGTAGGCTCTCAACCCATCTTCCTCACTAGTCCTAGCTATGGTGTCAGTTGTGGACTGGCAGTAGGGAGCAATCGATGCTGTCAGTCCTCCCACAGAGTTGATTACCCTAACAGCATTAATTGCTCCCTACTGATAGCATTGATGCTTTTTTTTCTTCTTTTTTTTCTTTTCAAGTTTAAAACATTTCTTAACTTATTTGTGTCATCCTTGTGCAGGGGCCATGCTAATGAAATCTGCTCTGCGTCGTTCCAATTTTAACCTTTTAACAGATGTCGCATTGATTACTTACTGGATCTGTGGCTGAATGGTACACACCTATAAACTGTTGCTAATGGGTCCTGAGTTCGGGTCCTGATGGATACCGTAATAAAAAGGGAAAAAAAAAACTTCAAAAAAGTTAAAAAAACAGCATTTATTGCAAGACAGGCAAACAAAGAATCAATGCTGGAACGGAGGGAGCTGCGGTCAAGTCCCACTCACCCGAATTCTCAGTATCTGGCCATAGATTAAAGGACAGAAATGAAGAGTCCGGCAAGGTGGGACCCGGCCTATGTTATGCACGCATCTTACACGGGCCTCCTCGGTGGCCCGCCGTCAGGATAGGGTGCCGAGTGCTGGTTTCGGGGGTTATTTGTTCATTTCTTTAGACTGTCTGCATTTTTCTGAGGTCCCGTTCGTTTGTTCTCAGATTTTCTGGCTGTTCGTAATTCAGGTTTTGTCCGTTCCCAGTTTTGTCCCATCTGAGGTAGGCCTGGACTTTGCTGTGTCGGTTCAGACCAGCTCAGCCCGGATGTGTTGTTAGGGCATGGTTGGTTCACGTATGTTACACAGGACCAGTGGCTGCCAGTAGGCCTGCTTCCAGTTCACGTTTCCGCTTGCGATCGACCAGGGTTTCGGTCCAGTATCTAGGACCGCCGATCGACGAGATAGATTGGACTGCCCTGGATCATGGCCGCCTAGGGACTGGCAGACCCAGCGCTATGCATAGCTGGGTCCAGCCTCGGTTCGACACGCAGCATGAGGAGGTTGAGGTCGACGTGCTGCTGCACAGCACTGTTTTAGGTAGAAGAGTTAGGAGAGTAGTAGGAGAATGCGAGGGCGGAGGCCAGATATTAGGAGTCTGTAGGACTAACCTGAAGACTGACCTGACGCCATAGGTCCTTTTCGTCGTCGGGCGTCTTCCACCTGCAGGCACAGCTCCAAGGGGACACCTTTACGCTGGTCGGTATCTGGTTCTGTTTCAGGGATACGGGAGAGGGTTCTTCTTCTTCATCTTCTCTCCCTCTTCCTCCATTACTCCTCTTCGTTTTCCCTCCCTCCGATGTTTCTTCTTCTGTGTGTGTGTGTGTGTGTGTGTGTGTGTGTGTGTGAGAGAGAGAGAGAGAGAGGTTATGAGAGCTGAGACTTGGTGACGTTGGGCGATTGCCCAGACTCGGACATTGTACCTGGACAGAGACATTGGGGCCTTTTTTTGGAGATTATATATTGACTACACTATTTGGTTGAAGACTCTCCATCTCTTCTATGTCTGTGTGTGTGTGTGTGTGTGTGTGTGTGTGTGTGTGTGTGTGTGTGAGAGAGAGAGAGAGAGAGGCAGGGTTGTCGAGCCCTGGCCCCGGGGGTCCGGGGGTCCGGGGGTGGGCAACCCTGGCTCTGGACCCCCCCAAAAAA